GTGTTTGGAGGAGAAAGAATGCTGAGTTGCATCCAAAGAACACCATACCTACTGTGAAACATGGGGGTGGAAACATCATGCTTTGGGGCTGTTCTTCTGCAAAGGGACCAGGACGACTGATCCGTGTAAAGGAAAGAATGAATGGGGCCATGTATCGTGAGATTTTGAGTGACAACCTCCTTCCATCAGCAAGGGCATTGAAGATGAAACGTGGCTGGGTCTTTCAGCATGACAATGATCCCAAACACACCGCCCGGGCAACGAAGGAGTGGCTTCGTAAGAAGCATTTCAAGGTCCTGGAGTGGCCTAGCCAGTCTCCAGATCTCAACCCCATGGAAATTCTTTGTAGGGAGTTGAAAGTCCGTGTTGCCCAGCGACAGCCCCAAAACCAATCACTGCTCTAGAGGAGGTCTGCATGGAGGAATGGGCCAAAATACCAGCAACAGTGTGAAAACCTTGTGAAGACTTACATAAACGTTTGACCTCTGTCATTGCCAACAAAGGGTATATAACAAAGTATTGAGATGAACTTTTGTTATTGACCAAATACTTATTTTCCACCATCATTTGCAAATCAATTCTTTAAAAATCAGACAATGTGATTTCCCGGATTTTTTTTCTTCCCATTCTGTCTCTCATAGTTGAGGTATACCTAGGATGAAAATTACAGGCCTCTCTCATCTTTTTAAGTGGGAGAACTTGCACAATTGGTGGCTGACTAAATACTTTTTTGCCCCACTGTATGTTGTTGAGGACATGCTGCCCATCGCAACGGTCGAGTCTGTTTCCTCCAGAGAACTAGTCAGCAAAAAACAACACAAAAACTTGTATTTTTATTGTTATTATTTTTAAAGTAAAATAACTTGTTACTAGTTACTTTATTAGTTACTAAATTATAAAAGTAACTAGTTTGAGAGCAGTAACTATTACATGTTACTTTTTAAAAGTAACTTGCCCAACACTGGTTCTAATACATTATATTCCTTTTATATATTTGACTTGTATATTGTTTATATATTCCCATGTCTACATTAACCCTCCTCTCCTCTGGTCCAATCAGAGATGGTGGGGGCGTGCATCGGAGTGTTCCTATTGGCCGTCCTGTACGAGGGTCTGAAGATGGGTCGAGAGACGCTGCTGCGCCGCAGTCAGGTGAACGTCCGCTACAACTCCATGCCTCTACCTGGAGCTGATGGGACCATCCTGATGGAGACGCACAAGACTGTGGGGTACGTGACAACAACACACACACAGGAAGTGATGACATACTGACGATCATCAGTCATGTGATCATCAGTCATGTGATCATCAGACATGTGATCATCAGTCATGTGATCATCAGACATGTGATCATCAGACATGTGATCATCAGTCATGTGATCATCAGACATGTGATCATCAGTCATGTGATCATCAGTCATGTGATCATCAGACATGTGATCATCAGACATGTGATGTAATGTGTTCACTGTTGGTCAGTTTGTGGAGGGGGCGGAGCTTCCTGGTCAGTCTTAAGTCCCGCCTCTCTGCAGTCCAGTAGAGTTCTGGGCCCTTTTCTCATTTCTCTAATTTCCCCTCCTCGACTCCTCTGTCCTCCGGTAGTGACCCGGAAATGAATTTCAGCGCGCCATGTTAAAGGACATCTCATTTCCCTAAATGCACTTCGAGGATCGAGCGTCGAGGAGACTCTCAGGAGGAGCGTTAACCGAGGATACACTGATGGGTCCTCCACGGTGCTCCACGGCTCCTTCGTGGGAACAGAGATGTTTCAAAGAGGCGTGACGCACGGCCGGCCTTATCTCAGCCAATGACAGCTCTGCATGCATCCCCTGGGCCCAGGAGTTCAAAACTTTTAATCTCAATCAGATCCGATCAGATTTTGAAATCCCATTTTTTGTGATCCAGGATCAGACAAGTCGGACAGATTTTGTCCCTGGAGTTCAAAGCAATTCAGGATAGGATCAGCCTGATCCAGATTACGATTTTTCCAGATGACTAGATCCTGAATATCAGTGCTTTAATCCTACCGATCGCCATCTAGTGGACATGAAAAATAATACAAGGAAGACAAGAGACCACATTGCAGAGACATCTATAATGTCTAATTATATTTTTTTATTTGAAAGGTGATGACAGATGATGGACTTTTTTTTTGTTGAAGATATTTTTACTTTAATCTAAATTACATTTTTGATTGACAATCTTTGCTGTTACACTTTTATGAGCATAAACATTTATGTCGTCAAAAATTTGGTTGAAAAACAAATAGGCCACCACAAACGTGAGCGAAAAATGGGAAAAATAAAATGTATTTCCCATGAAGGCTAAAAACAAACTTTGCCATCTTATTTAAATTGTAACATATTTTAAAATAAATTGTACAGTACATTTTGCTCTGGTAATCCACTGGAGATCCACCCCTCTGGAGGGATCAGGGTAATCCAGTTTTTTGGGATCAAACTGATGGGATCAACTGTCCAATTCCTGTTGTTTGTCGCTTTGAGAACTACCCGTTTTCTTCTGAAGATTTGATCCAGATTAAAGCTTGGATTTGGATTTCCTGATTGATCAGAATATCAAAATTCTCCTAATCCTTTTTTTTTGGGTTTTGAAATCCGCAAAATCCAAATCTGATTTGATCAGATAGGGATTCAAAGTTTTGAACTTTCCTGGGCCCTGGATATTATTTTATTAAATGCTTTCATCGCGACGCGATGTTTCCAGAGAGAACAGCTGTGAGGTCCGTGCAGAAAGCAGAGCAGTGTGTATAATATACGTATATCACTCAGTATAACAGGCCTACTCTCTGTATTTGCTTTAGTTTAGTAGATATCTACAAACAAAGACTCCAGATGTTTCTAAAACCATTTAGTGCTTCACAAAATAAAACACACAACGGCTGTAGCCTGTTTTAGGAGCTGTAGGTGTGTGTGTGGTACAGTGTGTAGGTGTGTGTGTGGTACAGTGTGTAGGTGTGTGTGTGTGTGTGTGTGTGTGTGTATTTGTCCTCATCTGTAGCCTGTTATTGTCTCATTATACCGCACTGATCATGAACACATCTGTCCATCAGACAGAGGGCTTCTGTGCCTCCTGTCATCATTAATGAACGTCTCTTTAAAATGACCGCTCAGAGGAGAGGAGTTCTCATTTCTCTAACCGCCTGCTGCTTCTCCTCCTCTTTCCTCGGTTCCCCTCCTCAGTCCTCCGCTCGCATCTCCTGTGGGCGGGACTAAGTATCGAGGAGGGGAAATTAGAGAAATGAGAAAGGGCCCTGGTCCTGGTTCTTCGTGATGCTAACTGTAAAGCTAGCAGTCAGGCTAGCAGTGATGCTAGTAGTGATGCTAACTGTAAAGCTAGCAGTGAGGCGTGAGAGAGGTTAGAGACAGGTGCTAACTGTAAAGCTAGCAGTGAGGCTAGCAGTGATGCTAATAGTGATGCTAACTGTAAAGCAAGCTGTGATGCTATCAGTGATGCTAACTGTAATGGTAACTGTAAAGCAAGCCGTGATGCTAACTGTGATGCTACCCTTTCGTTCTCTCAGGCAGCGGATGATAAGCCCCGCCCACTTCCTGCAGACGCTGCTCCACATCGTGCAGGTGGTCGTCAGCTACCTCCTGATGCTCGTCTTCATGACCTACAACGCGTACCTGTGCATCGCCGTGGCAGCCGGCGCCGGGATGGGGTACTTCCTGTTCAGCTGGAGGAAGGCGGTGGTCGTAGACATCACCGAGCACTGCCACTAGCTAGCGTGCTAGTTAGCGTGCTAGTATCCGGTCGATCTGGAGTTTGATATTTGCGGAACACAATCGAGGAAACGCTAACAGATTAGCCAAGTGTTAGCATGCTAGCTGACTGAACTACAAATCCCAGATTGTTAGAAACGAGACACTAAGTCCCAGGTAACCATGGTAACAGTTTGATGTAGGTTAGCGTGCACACTAACATCTTTAGTTAGCGGTTAATTAATCCGACTATCCTCGATGTATTTCCTGTTTGGTTGTGAGCTCCAATCACTGCTCGGATCACCGCGGAAGCCTCTGATTGGCCGATCCTCATTCTGTTGTTAATTTCCTGTTTGGTGCCATGACAACTGGAAAGGCTAGTGCTAATGTTAGCATTCGTAGCTTACCTTATTTACACTTTAGTTAGCACTGTTAGCGGCCACATGTCAGTATTTAAACATTTCTGTAGAAAATAATTTATAGAGTTTTACAATTTTTTTTAATTTAGATTTAAATGAAAACATGAAATGTCTTTTTGATTTTTGTTGAAGTGAAAACAAACAAACCGTCTCCTATTGGTCCACCAGCCAGCCAATCACAGCTCAGATGTTTCAAAAACATTATGATTTTTTAAAAGTATAAATATTTTTTATTAAAAACATTATGAAACTTTAAAACTTGAATTTAAATCTCATGAATTAATTATTCACTGAGTCCTTTTTTAAACCAGAGTTTAGTTTCACGTGTTTCCTCCGTCGGCCTTAAACCGACACGCCGTGCGGTGCCTTAAGGGGCCGGGGACCTGCTGTTTCACTGTGGGGGGTCTGAGAGGGTCTGGGGGGGGTCTGAAGGGGTCTCGGGGGGTTTGTCAGAAAACAGGACTGGTTTCTACCCACAATGCTTATCTCCTGTCTGTGATTTATTGTGATTATTACTATGAGTCACACTGAGGGGGGCGGGGCTTACAGCCGGACCAATCAGGCTGCAGGGACAGATCGTGGTTACTGGACTTTACACATAGATATAAATGGGTAGTGTGGAGCGGCCCTTTGGGTGTGAACCCGTCTCTGAAGGAAACTGATCAATATTTAAATGTCTGAAATGTTTCAATTTTTAAATGTCTGAAATGTTTTAATTGTCACAAATGCTGGAATCATTGAAAACAAACAGAATAAAGTTTATGAAGAAACAACGCGTGGTGTCGTCTCAGAGGAAGCTCCTAATAAAGAAACAACGCGTGGTGTCGTCAGGTGGGAGAGAGGTTAGAGACAGGTGAGAGTCAGGTGAGAGAGGTTAGAGACAGGTGAGAGAGGTTAGAGACAGGTGAGAGACAGGTGAGAGGTGAGAGTCAGGTGAGAGACAGGTGAGAGAGGTTAGAGTCAGGTGAGAGACAGGTGAGAGTCAGGTGAGAGAGGTTAGAGACAGGTGAGAGACAGGTGAGAGTCAGGTGAGAGAGGTTAGAGACAGGTGAGAGAGGTTAGAGACAGGTGAGAGAGGTTAGAGTCAGGTGAGAGAGGTTAGAGACAGGTTAGAGACAGGTGAGAGACAGGTGAGAGTCAGGTGAGAGACGAGTCAGGTGAGAGAGGTTAGAGACAGGTGGGAGAGGTTAGAGACAGGTGAGAGTCAGGTGAGAGAGGTGAGAGAGGTTAGAGACAGGTGAGAGAGGTTAGAGACAGGTGAGAGACAGGTGAGAGAAGTGAGAGTCAGGTTAGAGAGGTGAGAGACAGGTGAGAGAGGTTAGAAACAGGTGAGAGACAGTTGATAGAGGTGAGAGTCAGGTTAGAGTGAGGTTAGAGTCAGGTGAGAGAGGTGAGAGTCAGGTGAGAGTCAGGTTAGAGACAGGTGAGAGACAGGTTAGAG